CTCCTCCTCCTCCTCCTCCTCCTCCTCCTCCTCTTCCTCCTTCTTCTAAAAAGAGGATGTGGCTGATTGTGGCAGCACTGATGTGGCCACAATGTTCTCAAATTTCAATCCCAGAGAAATCATGGGTCCTGGATTTTTGATGCATTCTTTGAGGTCATTGATTCAAAAATTGTAATCAGTGGTGGGTTGCTGCCAGTTTGGACCAGCTCGCCTGTACTGTTTGTTTCGACCACACCGCCTGGGCCCACACACCAACCCTGGTGCTATCCTGTCTTATACATCTGGCTCACTCGCCCCACCCACTTCTGCACCTCACCCAATCTCACCGCAGCTGCTGCACGCAGGAAATCCCTGTGTTTTTGCAGCTGTGCACAAGCAGCCGTGCGTGTGCACCCTCACATTTTTGGTCTGCACTAGGTGAACCAGTTGTTACTGAATGTGCAGCCCAGCTCTGCCCATAATGTATCATTTCACCAAATTGAAGCTTACAAACCAAAATACACAAGAGTTTGATAGTATATAGATTTCATAGATTTCTCATCTATATCTCCACCTTATTCAATAAAACTATGCAAGAACTGATTTTAAACTCCTTTATGGTTTGGTGCCTGGTTACTTGCAGGACCACATCTTCCTACCAGAGTGGGCCATGTCAATTATGCCAGGAGAAGCAATTGATTATTCCCCATGTTTGGGAGATCATGGTACTGAAGCCCAGAAATATTATTTTTTGCCATTAGGGCTGCCCTCTGGAATGACTTTCTATTGGAAATTTATTGGTCTCCAACATTGCCTTTCAGAAAAAGTTGAAGATTGTCCTTTTGTGGAGGGCTTTTGAGGACTGACAGCATGTACATAGTGTTTTTTTTTTTAACTATGTCTATGTTTTGAGGAATATATGGGAAGAAAAAGCAAATATTCTACAAAAGCTTTTAAAATGATTTTACTTGCAGATGTATGGAAAGAGATCAGTCCATTGATTGCTATCACCTGTTTTAATTTTATTCAAATATAATTTACATTTTAGCTTCTAACGTGCTAAATTAATGTGTTAAAGTAATATGCCAATGTGGTATATATTTATTTTCATGCCTTTGAGTCATTTGTTTTATTCCTGGCAACTGGACAAGTCCCTCAAGTTTTCTTGGCAAGATTTCAGAAGTGGCTTGTTGCCTGCTTAATAGGACTGTGAAAGGGAGATTGACTCAAGGTTATTTATCTGGTTTTGTACCTAGGACAAGACTAGAACTGATGGTCCCCTGGTTTCTACCCTGCCACTATAGAAATTGGCTTTCAGTGCAGTATATATTGCATTAATATTATCTTTGAATTTTGTTGCAGGTATTTATTCATTCTGAGCTTTTGCTTTTCTGACTTTGTCTTTGCAGATTCTGGCTATCACCTGATATTCTGCCTTAGTTATGTGTCCTTCTTTCCATTTTTTGTGCTTGTCCTATTTGTCTTTCAATTTGTCAGAGAGATCTTTGTGCAGCCATGTTGGTTTCTTCTTGGATTTCTTGTTTTTCTTTTTCAGTGGCATTGTGCTGGACTGGGCTTTTATGATAATATTTTTCAGCATTTCCCACATTTCTTGAGTTGCTTTCCCCTTTAGGATTTTCATCCAAGGAATCTTTCTCAAGTTCTCTCTGAGTTTGTTAAAATCAGCTCTTTGAAAATCTAGGACTCTGGTATCATTATGTTCTATTGCTTGTGTTTGTGTTATGTTGAATTGTAGTATGACATGGTCACTCTCAACCAAGGTTCCTGTGGTTTTAACTGTATCATTTCTTGTCTGTTTGTAAGAATTAAGTCCAGTATGGTAGTTATAGCTCTGCTTCAGATAAAATAATTTTGTTGCTAATTGTAGTAGAACCCCTTAACTTCTCTCACTATTCATTTTTTCATGCACAATTTCAACATTTGTGGCAAATATTTATAAATAAAAACATAATGTAATGCTTTAAATATTAAGCAGATGACAGTGGTGTTAATGCTTAATGGATCAGTTACACAGTCCTGCCAAAGTTATGTGAAAATACTGCCAAGAACAAATATAGAGTGGAGGAAGAATCCATTAGAATTGCTATATATAAAATAATATATGTATAGTATGAGAGACATTACCTAGATATTTCATAATGATGACATTAAAGAAACTTTAAAACATTACAGAGGTGGACCTTTGCGTGGAAGAAAGAAAAGCATTGGATTGTTTCCTAATTTCACCAGTGCTATATTTCCTTTTTAAAAACTAAAACAGTGATTTTATATATACTATACCTTTTAGTGAAAGTATCAACATTTAACACAATACATTTGATGAGTAGGAATACATAACATTTTGTTATATCATTCCATGTGAGAGTGGGAGTGTAGTTTATTAGCTTGCTTAATGCTACTGAAGATCATTATTCTTTAGTTCTTTTTGTCATATTACTGTTTCAAACGATGACAATAAAGTATATTCATTTTTGACTTCTGGTTTCGCCAGGCTTTGGAGGCGGCGGGGTTTCGCGATCTCTGCGATCCCCGCCGCGCTAGCCGCTCTTGGTTCCTCCGACCCAGACGGGTCCGGAGGATAAGGTTGCCCCGTAGAGGCAACCGAAGACAGGGAGGATCCGGACAAGGGGTTGGGGTGTTCGCAGACCCCTTCCCCACCCGGCATAACCTCCTTTTCTCAAGTCGGTCCAGCGGCGGTCAGCAATGGCTGCCACAAAGAAGCCAGCAACCGGACAAGATCGTGCTGGAGGAAGAAGGAGAAATTTTTGAAGCGAAAGTTTTTTTGGCTGAACTGGGATTAGAAGATACATTTAATACCCTGAAATCTAAGATTTGGTTTTTTGTTTGAAAGATATTTTGTTTCCAGAAGAGATTGGCAAGCGGCGAGTGAAAGTGTTTTCAAGTGAAAGTTTACTCTCCTTCCACATGGAATTAACAAATGAATGCTGAAAATACTACTATTCTATAAAAGGTAAAAATCTAAAGCTTCTTGTTATAAATGGGAAGGGAGAGGACAAAAGGAAAATTTATACTAAGATTTTGTTGAAGGAGATGCCTGGAAGATTTTAGAGATTGGAAGTTACTGTAATAAGAACTTAAAATACAGACTGGTTTTCTTTTTCTCCCTTTGCAACTGATTTTAACCCAGGAAGAAGGGAAGAATTTTGTGCTTTGTTTGGATTGTTTGGTGACTTTGGGACTTTGGGATTTGCTTTAAGCTTGGAAATACCTTTGGCTGTTTTAAGAAGAAGAGGAGGAGGATTTACAATGACTTTATCTGCTGATGAACTGAGAGAGGAATATGGCAAAATAAAGAAAGACGATGTGGGAGAAATTTTTTGCTTTTTAGAAATGGCGCTTGCTACTTATCAGCAAATACAACAATTGATGGAAGAAGAAGAAGAAGCCATCTTTAATGAACCCATAGAGGTGCTTAAGAAAGGAAGGAGAAAGAAAGGGAAAAAAAGGATATAAGACTTAAAAAAATATCTAAGAAAGAGAAAAATAAGATGCAAAATCAATATAAGGCTAGAAAGCAAAAGGAAAGAGAAATACAACAGAGAGGGGAAGTTAAGGGGGGTAAAAAGACCAGATGGGATAAGACAGGGAGGAAGAAGGGGGAAAAAGGCCACGAGGGTATCAAACAAGATGTGAAAAAGAAATGGTTTTTTAGGGATAAAGGGTAATATAATTTTGTTTTAAAAGGATTCTGCAAGGTACATATGATAGTATTGTAGTATTTGTATTAGAAATAGAAAATTATAATTTTATAAGATTTAAGTAAAAACTAAAATATTAAAGGTTTAATAATGGTAGAATTTAAGATTTAATAAAATATTAAAAGGAAGGTTTAAAATATTTAGTTTAAATATAGATTTTAATTGACTATTGTGTGGATGTTAGTATGAATATATTATTGTAATACTTGCTTTTGAAATAGATAATTGGAATGTTATGAGATTTAATGTTTAATGACATATTTAATTATGTTATGGATTCACTATTTTCTTTTTGTAAGTAGTATGTACTAAGCAGAATCAGATAGGGAATTTGGAGTTACCTTAAATGTTAATTTAGAGGTGCGATGGAAAGGCATCATACTTTGATTTGTGATTTCAGGAGAAATTCTTTTATTTTACTATGGGGAATGAAATATATAGACAATTGGAAAAATGGACAAAGGATAGAAATATAATGATTTAAATTAAGTTAATAAACAAAATAGAATTAAGAAGAGAGGAAAGCGGGGAGAAGTTATAAAGAAATTACAGAATGGTAATTAAGATAGGTAATGGCATATAAGATGAATATGAATTTAATCGAAGTCCATACAAAGAGTGGTAATCCGGGGCCAAGCTACTTTTTTGAAAAAGAAGTTTTACCTTATGTGTTTTGTGTGTCTATGTCTATGTGAGATTTAATAAAACCTTGGAGGAAAGCGGGAGGAGAACAATTGCAAACAAGACAGAGGGAAATATGAATATGATGATTAAATTTAATGAGAAGAAATGAGAGTGTTAAAAGATATTTAAGTAGAAATGGGATATATTAAAATCACACTGTATAAAATATTGTATTATCTGCCTTGTAAAAACTTACAAGGGAAAGAGGTTTAATGTGTACAAGGTTTATGTTTTGTTTGTCTTCAAAAACTAATAAAATTTGTTTAAAAAAATAAATAAAGTATATTCATTTTTATAAAAGTAAATTTCTATAGTTATGCCAATGAGAATAGTATATTTTCAGCAAGATACTTTTGACTGGATTAAAAAAATATGTTGCCAATCACATAATAAATCTGATTCAGATTTTTCATAATTCCCCCCCCCCCTTTAAAAGCTGACGTGTTTCTTCATTCATCCAAACTACATTGAGTGAATGTTGTAGTTGGGGAAATAAAACAGCTTCATTAGCTTTAGAATGTTGCAGACAGGTGTTGTGTTTGCACTCCAAAGGACCTTTTGGAGATTTAAATCCTGCACAATCCAGTATTTTAACATTTGTTACCCTTATTGAGCAGCTGGTATACTAATTCTTTTCTTTTTATATCGAATATATCTAGATCCTTTAACTACCTCAGCTCATTCAGAACTTAAACTACCTCTAGAGTTTTGGGCTACTTGAATAAATTATTTTTTGATGACCTGGCACTTCTTCCTTGTCCTGCATGGATTCTCTTTGGGGCTTTCAAATATTCACTATTTTTGTGTGTGTGAGCAATCATAATAACTTCTTCTGCTGTTCTCCATTTAGTTGTTTGCTTTTCAATCCAAGATACACCTGATGAGAAACAGAGACCTCCAAGCAGACTTTCTCTAGATGTTTGTACCAGGAAGAAAGATTCTATTTTCACAAGGTGTTGTTGAATGTAACCTGGTATTGAATTGCAAAGGGTTTACTGCTTCATATAAATTCCTCTTGCTGGGGTGGAAGCTGAGAAACACAGAATATGGCTAGGAATTTTGGCTATTGCTGTCTTAAAACAGCTATATTCAGTTACTAATATTTATTATTTGTGTCTAGTCTGTTTTGAAAAACAAATGTTCCCAGTCCATATATCAAGATGGAACCAACCCATATTCTGTGTTTTACTATTTCTTCTCCATTAACAAAATTCAAAGTCTGATGAAGGCTGTTCTATGAATTGTTCTATGATGGAAGCTAACCTATGCACAATTCCTTTTTTTAAACTTAGTTAAATCCTATCACCAGCTACTTCCATCCACCTTGCTAGAAAATGGATGATTTATAAGTAAAAAATAATGAATTGAGCATTCATAACCATGTAGTCCAGCTAGTCACCTCCTTGCTATATCACATTTAAAATACTGTGCAATATGCAGTGCTATACATTATTACTCCTGGTGATCCCTGGTGTTTCAATATCAGCCAAGTGGAGATACCAGGCCCATTGAGTACTGAGCACCTCAGCTTTTGACTGCCTTGGATCTTGCCCCTAAGACTAACTTAGTCTCTTCGCTGTAGGAAACAGGAAAAAAGAGGACTAATCAAGCACATTGCATATTTTCAAGTGTGTTATTGTTATGTGGAAACATCCAATGCCAGATGCAACATGAGTCACTATAATTACCAACTGCTTGCTGTAAACAGTTTTAATATAATCCACATGATTTACATAATACATAATTTCTATTTTAATTTTTTCATCAACACAAGACATTCACTTATTGATGGGAGTTAACTGATGTTTACTGTTCAGATACTTATTGAGTATAAAACACTCACCTTAATGAGCTTCTTTCTTCCAAAATGAATACACTAACACTTGAAAGCAGTTTCAGGGAAAAGAAATAAAAACTGGCAGACATCTGTGCTCTTGATTTTGTGGTTTTAACTTGTACTAAATTTGGAAGAGGAAAAATTAAT